GGGGGGGGGGGGTCCTGGAGCATGTGCTAGAGGCCCCCTGAATCACTCGGCTTCCCATCTGTCCCAAGACAGGTTGTCAGCTCTTCAATTCTGTGAACTTTCAAGTGTCCTTCAAATGAATCTCCTCGAGTGAGCCAGAGTTGGCTTCCCCTTCCTGTCATCTAAAGCGTTTCGACTGCTCCAGAAGGGCAGGAAATGTCACACAACAGTCCAGGTGCCTACCATGGGCAGCCAGCAGACAGGCTTAGGGAAGGAACCAGAGCTCATGAGAAGCTGGAAGTGCTTGGGTATCGAGTTCCTTTTAGCATCGTTGAGGGTCATCTCCTTTCCCTCTGCCTGCCTCCTAAGCTCTTGCTACTGGGGTGGTCCAGGAACCAGCAGCACCAGTCAGTATCCTTCAGGAACACGCTAGAAGTACAGTCTCGAGTCCCCACCCCCGCCCCACCTGTATCAGAATGTGCACTTTCACAAGATACCCAGGTGATTGGGGTGCATATGAAAGTTTGAGAGGCACTGATCTAAGCAACAATCCCAATGAGCTATATCATGATTATGCTTAGAAATCAAGTATCCTCCTCAATATCCTTAAGCATCCAGTTTAAGCGTTAAAGATACATGACTCAGGCATCAAGTTGTTTCTTTTCACTCACTGACTGTGGAGAAGTTGACCAGAGTGTGGCCTCGATGTTACTGTTTCCAGATCCTGCTTCCGAGGCCATAGGATCAAGGCAGGGTCTCGAGTTCCCCCAAGGCCCATGGAGCTGGCCACACAGGCCCCTTGGAGACGTGCTTCCCTTCGCTCGAGGAGGGACTGAGTTTCAGAAACAATTCCAGAGCGTGTCCTGTGCGGTGGACTCCGCGGGTCCATCCCCAACCCCTTCCGGTTTAGCAACATTGTTTCAAGAGGCTGGGAGCTGACCCAGCGCTGAGCGAAGCAGCAAGATCCGGAGAAAACAGAAGGAAGAGGAAGGTGTCTGAGTCCTGTGGAAGGACGGACGGAGTGGGGGTCTGTCTGTGGCCGAGTTGTGAGAACTGTTCCTTCATTTGGGTGCTGGAGAAGCTGGGACCTGCGCAGGTAAGGAGTCCTGGAGGGAAGACGTCACTGGTTTCAAGTGAGAAGACTGAAGAGTCCTCGGGAGTTTGTTCCCGTCCTGCGCCTCACGGACCCCGTCCCCAGAGACCTTTCCGAAGGGGGCCCCTAGGGTGGGAGCTTGGCTTCCTAGGCCTACAAGTCTGAGGCCTACTAGCGCAGAGAGCGGGGATGGAAAGCTAAGGCTCAAGAGAGAGACAGAAAATTCCAAAGCAGGGACACCTGAATGGGGGAGTGAACACCAAGGCTTGGGGACCAACCAATGTCATTTGTGAGTAAGCAAAACTAGTTTGAAGACTTGCTCGACCCCTGGCACCTACCTGGTGCAGGTGCTCGGCCCAGGCCACTGCCCTGTACTCAGATACTTTGTTAGGGTCACCGCCCAGGGGGAGTTGTCCCTGTCGTGCTAAAATGTCGAAACCTGCAGTAGACACAGAGATCCTGGAATATCTGTGATTCCAAAGGTAGCTGAGCCAACTCTTCTCCTGAGACACCTGCCCCAACACACATTAAAATCTCCCTTCCTCCAACACATGGGGAGAGGAAGGTTAGGGTGGAGACGAGAGAGAGACACTGATGGATTCCTGAGAGGGGCTCTGCTCACCTCCCAGTGGGTTCCAAGGAGTGAAATGGGAAAGAACCCTAAGAATCTCCAGGAAAGTTGTGGAGGGGGCGTCTAAGATCAGAGGAGGTTCTCCTTCGGATCTGGAACCCTGGAGCCCAGAGGAGTTCTCAGTGCCCCAGGATGGAACAGAATGGGCTGTGGGAGAGAGGTGGGGAAGAAAGGGCCAAAGGAATGTTCTGTGGGGCCGGAGCACCTTGCCAGGGACACAGGCTTCCCTGGGCCCCAAGGAGGAGACCAAGAACTGACTTGGGTGAGGTCTGAACTGGTCAGGAAAAACCATGAAGAGACTTATCAGCCTAGAATTAACTAGATTAAGTGTCCTACCATCAGGCAGAAAGGGAGCTGGAGAAAGAACCACTGAGCCCTGGCTGGGTAGCTCAGTTGGTTAGAGTGTCATCCCAATATGCCAAGGTTGCAGGTTCAATCCCTGGTCAAGGCACATGAAAGAATCAACTCTCTGGGACGGCATGGAGGGACCTGGGGAGTATCGTGTTCAGCAAAATCAGCCAGTCAGAGAAAGACAGGCATCACGTGATCTCACGCATATGTGGAATCTAATGAACATAATAAACTGGTGGATGAAATAGATACAGAGACACAGACGCATGGACCAGAATGAGGGATCTCAGAGGGAAGGCGGGGGTGGGTGGGGAATTTACATGCATGTATGGAAACCCATGGACACAGACAATAGTGGGGTGGAGGGAGTTAATGGGGGGGGAAAAGAGGGAATATCTGCAATACTTTCAACAACAAACATAAATTTAAAAAACAATCGACCAATGAGTACAGGAATGGGTGGAACAACAAATCGATGTTCTCTCTCCCTTCTCCTCTCTCTCTAAAATCAATAAATTAACACAAACACCAAATCTAAAAAAAAAAACACAAAACGAAACATTGAGATCATTTAGTTACAGGCCAACATACTTCCTACACACTGAGTCCAGAGCTTGAAAA